TTGAATTAATACAGTTGTGTTTATGTAGAAAGAGTTTTCCTTTTTTCTATACCTTTATAATCTTCAGGAGCAGAAAATGGTCAGTGGACAAAAAAACAAGACTTTTATTGTAAGAATAATTCTTACTCAAGTTGAAAGACTTTTTTTGAACAAGCAGAGTCTGATCATGATAGTGGTGAATTTAACATAGGAGGCCAAACCAGAATCTTCATCTATACCAGTAAAACTGAAAAAGATAAGACCAAATGGAAATGCTTTCTTCCAAGTAATAGTGAGAGCTCTTTTTTAATTAAAAAAGAAAAAGATTGATGTTTCTGCACAAATGCAAGTTTTAAATGATCTTCCTGGACTTATCCAACCATAGGTGGGTTTGTTTGAAGACAGAATCTGAAGAAATTGTTTAGAATTCGTTTATAATTAACTCATCAACATTTCCCCAACTCAGAAATGTATGTCTTTAGCATCTGGGGAAAATTACATAACAATATAGTTGGGTGTTGATGACACACAAAAAATTTAAGTGATCTTTAATACTTTTGTTTTTTTATTAACATTTTTCATTTTTATGTAAGGTTTAGTTTCTTTTTTAAATGACACTTATTTTTTCTGACAATTTATACTAAAATGATTGTATTTAATATTTGTTTCTTTATAGATTTACATTTTTGTTATACGATTTCTGAATTTTTGCATTCGAAATATATTAAATATTTGCTATCACTAATTTGTATTTTTATAAATTCTTAACATTTTTAAATAAAATATTACTATTAACTTACAAAGTAAACACTTTCATTTTGCTCCAGTATTCAATAACTCTTTTAGAGGATATCTAAGTAATATCTTAGATGAGACCTGAAGGATGAGAGGACTCAGTCAAGTAAAGAGTTGCGGAAAGAATGTTCTAGATAGAGCTTTCAGGTAAGAAAGGGCACAGTAAGTTTGAACAACTAACAGAAGTTTAGTATCATTGGTTCTCAGAGTTCAAGATAATGGGAAGGCCGAGGTTGAAATTGAAGTGCTAGGCTGGTGACAGGTTGTGAGGGCCTTTGGGGAAGCCATTAAAAGTATCCAAGGACCCTTGGTAAATCAGAAGGATTTTAAACTTAATGGTGATGTTCAGATTTGCATTTTAGAAGGACCATCTAGCTTCTGTGTAAATAAATTGGATAAAAAGAGACCTGTTAGAAGACTTACAAACATCCAGGCAAATGATAATGAGGGGACAGCAGTGGCTATGGAATGGAGAAGAAATAGATAGATTTGAGAGGGATGCAGGAATTAGAATTCACAGGGCATCACAGTGGGTCTGTCACGAGCAACTAGGTGAAGTAGTAGCAGTCACTGAAATTGGAACTCCAGGGAGAGCAATATAGGGAAGGTAATGGGTTCGCTTTTGCAGATGCCCACTTGCAGACTGATTCATTAGGGAGATGTGGAGATCGAGGGCTTGGAGAAGTCTGGAGTGGGCATGTAGACTTTTGAGAATCATCAGTATTGAGATGGCAGTTGAAATTTTGCGAGTGTTTAGAGTAGTCACAATCGGGAGAGGAAGGGAAACTAAGAACAGCCAGAGTAGTAGAAGAAAATCAGGAGAGGGTGGTATCATAGACGAGTGTTTCTAAAAAAACATGAAATGATCAACTGTGCCCGATGAGAAGGAGAGTTTGAGCAAGATGAGGACCGACATATTTGATTTTAATTTTAAGGTTGTCATTGGTGACTGTAAATGGGAGTCAGATTATAGTAATTCCAAGGTGAGGAATTAGGCAGGTCTTTCAAGAAATTTCCAATGGAGGAAAAGAAAGAAGAGTTAACCTGAAGGGTGATAGGAGCTAGGGTGTTACATTTAAAGATGAAGGGGACTTGAGCCTGATTAAATGAGAATGGGAATCAGCGAATAGAAAGGGAGAAGTTGAAGAGATGGTGATCAGCCATCAGAGTCTCTGGGAAGGTGGACTGAGTGGAGGCCAGAATTTAGGGTGAAACTGGGTTTTGGATTATAGAGAAAAGGAAGCAGAAGTCTGGATCCAGGTAAGTGTGTATGATGGAAAATGAGGACGTTGGCTTCTGAAATGACGTCTTTATTTTCTCTGTGATGTAGACAGCAATATAATTCGCTGAGATTGAGGAGAAAGCAGGTGGAGGAAGTTGAAAAATAGCAAATGTTCGAAATATCTGCTCTGTTGAAGGGCAGCAAGAGCTGACTAGGGACAGCTTGAGGACAGGTTAAGGTTGTTGACAATGACTTGACATAGGCTTTCACCGGCAGCAGAAAACGGCAGTCTCACCTGCCCCTCTTGAGGTTTGTCGGATGTGATCGAGGAGTTTCTAGAGAGTCGGGTTTCCGTTGAGTCCGTAACGTGCAAGGAACAGAATATAATGAAATGTGACTCCCACTCATCTGTGACGCGTCCACGGTTGTTCTGTGCTGCAGTATTAAGATATTCTCCGAATTTATTGAAGTGTGTTAAACACAAGACAAGGCTCTGTCTTGTGTTTAAGTTCTTGTCCGCTTTTACACTATTCCTGTCTCCACCCTTTCTGTTTTCTTCCTTGTTGTCAGTTGTTCTCTCACATTGCTGTCTGCATGCAAGTCTGTATCAGCCCTACACTCTGGACTTTGTCAACATCTGGAATTATCACACCTCTGAAATAAAGCTGTGGGCTTGAAGACCAGACAACCAAGCTTATTAAAATTATGTGCAAAGTAAGAGTAAATAATCTCTGAGTGTGATTCTCACGTGCTGTGCTTTGAGGGTGTACATGAGGGTTTATATATGAATTTTGTGACGTTTTATTGGGTGGTTTCTCAGTTGTTCATATATGAGATGTTTGTTGCCTGTATTCACATGCGTTTTTCTGTTTTGAAGCTCCATGGATTATGGTAATATTCCTAGAGAGCCCTCAATGTTTGATTATACCTTTAAAAGTTATTCTTTAGTACTTGCAAAGTATTTTCATACACAACCTAAATTTTAAAACTAAAAATTAGATATTTTATGCTCTTATTTTTTATTTTTCTCATGCATTTTCAAATACCTATGTATTTTGAATGAGAGTAACATGTATTTTCAAATGTTTATGCATTTTGTATAAGAATGACATACCATGACACAACTCAGTCATTTAGTCATGACACATGTAAATGAAATAGGTCAATATTAAGTATTTTGGAGGTTTGAAAAATAAGTTATTTACTCTAACTTTTCACATATTTCTGTGTTTTATGGACTTATCTGTGAACATCTCATGTATGTATCAACAATTTTAATTTTTTAAAAGAAGTATATACTTAAGTGTACAGTAAATATCACTTTTTAAAATTTTATGTAAAACTATTTAATTTTAATCCTGGTCTTCCTTGTCAGGAGGAAGTTAAATTCAGCACCAGTCACTTGGATGCTTTTCCCCAGTCCCCAGGGTGTGCTAAGGTTTGCAGCGAGCATTCCCTCAATCATCAGCCACCTGACCACGCTGGGTACCAGGAGGGGCCTGTCGTCCCAGCCCGCACATGCCCTCCAGGTTCCGTGGCTTTGTGGGATGCCTTTTGTGCTCACTACAGGGGAACAAAAGCCCGTTCCTCTGAGCCGTTCCTCGGTCTCACCTGGGCTCCCTGGGAACAGTGCTTCTTAGTGACTCACATGCCTTAGTCTCTTTCAATCTGGGGGAAACCCCTCTCTCCTCCATCTAGATTCTCAATAGATTTTTTTTTTTTTTTAAACGAGAAGCTAAAATGCCCTGACATACACTTTTCCTTAGGCAAGAACACATAATGTAGCCTATTTAAATGGTAGACTATACAGAAAAAACACACATTTTCTTTAAAAAAAAAAGATAGTAAATTGTACAGGAGTAATAAAACTCAATAGTCCACCTCTGTTCAGTGTTACCGCCTCTGAAACTAACTCTGTGTAGCCAAGTTCTTGTTTTTATAACTTATTGAAGAATATTAATATTTGATAAATGCGTTTACATTTTATTGACATAGAGTAATTCCTGAGTGACCTAAAATATCAAGCAGAACATAACATTTTAATTTTGTTTTGTCTTATTTTACCTAAGAACACTGGAACTATTTTGGGGCTGATGAGAATCTTGGTCCAGTGGCTGTGAGCATTCGAAGGGAAAAACCTGAAGAAATGAAAGAAAATGGATCTCCTTACAACTACCGAATAATATTTAGAACTAGTGAGGTAAGTTGCACATGAGAAAGGAGAGGCTTAATGGAAGTGAAACAAAAAATAGAGTAGCCTCAGTAACAAAACAATTTAATTTATATCACATCGTTACAAATGTCTTTAGCTAAACACAGTCCCCTTTCATTCATTCTGGTGGTGATAGCGGTGGACGTATTGCTTAGATCTGGATGCTTGCTTTTCATCTAGCTCTGGATAAATGCAATAAATGAATGGGAGTTTAGATTCAGAGAAAGACATGTCCATTGAGTCTGGCCTGAGGAAGTGGAGGCTTTGGAATCCCAGTGGAATAGTTCCCGACCTGCTGGGGCAGCTGGAAGGTATCAAGCCAGCCCGAGGAGGTGGGGTACTTACCTATGAGAGAGGGTCGCTGAGGACTTAACTCACTCTTCCTCACTATTGCTTAGGACACTTGTGGCCCCACGAAGAG